AAGAAAGAAAGAAAGAAAGAAAGAAAGAAAGAAAGAAAGAAAGAAAGAAAGAAAGAAAAAGGAAGGAAGGCAGGGAGGGAGGGAGGGAGGGAGATGGGCATGGTGGCGCACTCCTGTAATCCCAGCACTTGGGAGGCTGAGGCAGGAGGATCGTTGTGAGTTTGAGAACAGCCTGGGCTACAAAGTGAGCTCAAGGGCAGCCTGAACTGTGTAGTGAGACCCTGTCTCAAAATGACCAAAAAAAAAAAAAGAAAAGAAACAAAGAAAGAAAAAACAAAGAAAAGGGAAGGAGGGAGGGAACCCAGACAGAACCACGCCTTACCCAAGTCACAGCAGGCGACAGAGCCTGGCCCCCTCGCTCTCAACCCAGGCACCTCCTCAGACGCCCCACTCACCCACGCAGGTCCCACTGGGTGACAGCCTAAATCCCGGGGCGCACTGGCAGCGGTAGCTGCCCGGGATGTTGACACACTCTGCGTTGCTGTGGCAGACCCTCTCCCTGCCGGCACACTCGTCCACATCTGCGGAACCCGGGGGACAGAGTGGGGATGAGAGCGAGCACAGCTGGGCAGAATCCAACCCCGAACCTCTGGAAACAAGAGCTGGCACGCGGGGGCTGGGCGGATGGTGGAGGTGGTCACCCCGGGTGACGCCAGCCCTGACTGGTGGGCACCACTAGATTAAGAAATCCCCAACAGACCGCAGAGCGTGCTGCCGAGTGAGGCAGGAGGCTGACGCTGGGCACCGTATCCAGCCCCCGCACCTTCCTCTCTGGCCCTGTCCCCTGCTCTGCCTCCTCGCCGCCATGAACTAAGCAGCTTTGCTCCTGACCACGGACTGACCCCTCTGGACCTGTAAGCCAGATCAGCTTCCCGTCCTCTAAGTTGTGGGTGGCGGGTATCACGCCTGACAACAGAAAGTCAACAATGCAGCCCACTCTACAGAGAGGGAAACCAAGGCTCACAGAGCTTACAGGACCAGATTGCAAAGTGGGAAGCAGGGTCCCACCCGGACCCCAGGGCTCAGAGGAGGGCGGGCACCTCTGCAGGCCAGCAAGGCGCTGTTGTACTGGAAGCCCAAGGGGCACTCGCAGCGGAAGCTTCCGATCTGGTTGACGCAGACGCCGTCTGTGCACACGGCCGGGATCTCCCCACACTCGTCAATGTCTGCGGAGGATGCGAGCGTGAGGGGGAGCCCCGCCCCCGGGCCTCTGGAGCCCCTGAGCTAAGGGACCCGCTGGTCCTGGAGTCAGTGGTGGACGGTGGTGGAAGATATGGCTAGAGACCAGCACACAACCCAGAAGCCTGCTGTGGCCAAAATGTGTCCACCTACACCAGTGGGACGTGAGGGTGTGGAAGGAAGGGAGGATGGGAAAGAGGGTGTTTGCAGTAGAAAATGTACACTTTAGCCAGGGTGGTGGTGTACACCTGTCATCCCAGCACTCTGGGAGGCTGAGGCAGGAGGATTCCAAGTTTGAGTCCACTCTGGGGCTCCTTAGCAACACAGTGAGAGCTTGTCTCAAGAAATAAAAGGGCGCTAGATTTCAGTGTGAAGGCCCTGGGTTCGATCCCCAGGGCTACAAAAAAGGAGAGCATACACACGCACACCCCTCCTGTGACTCAGCAGTCCTGTTTCTTGGGATGTATGAGAACAAAGCAACTCTGTGTGAGTAAGTTCAGAGGGGACAATATTTAGCAAAAACAAAACAAAACAACAACAACGAAAAAACAAGCCCAGAAATATCAATTGGTGAACGGGTAGCCAAATGTGAACTACCCGAGCTGTGGAATATTACTCAGCCACATAAAGGACTGCAGCACTGGCGTGTGCCACAGCATGAAACAGCCCTGGAAATATGCACTGAAAGGCTATTAAGTCCCAGCCAAGAACCCAGGCGCAGAAGGGCAAACACCGTACAGCTCCATTGACAGGACGTGTGCAGAACTGGTAAATCCACGGACACAGGAAGCTCAGCAGTGCCAGGGCTGAGGGGAGTGGCAGGAAAGCGCCTGCAAATGGGGGCAGGACTAGGCCTCTCCTCTCCTCCCCTCCCCTCCCCTTCTTTCTCCTCCCCTTCCCTCCCTCCTCCCTCCCTCTCTTTTTCCTTCCCTCCCTCCCTCCCTCCCTCCCT